CATGTCCTCCCTCCTGGCTACTATTAAGTGAGCAGCTTTGCTCTCCTGCTGCCTTCTCTTCGTCATGATATTCTGCTTCAATTACAGGCCTCAAAACAGGTGACCCAACTGAAAATGAACTGAAGCCTCAGAAACAAGAAACAAAATAAAAGAAGTTGTTGATCTCAAGTATTTTGGCACAGGGTAAGAAAGCCCACTCATACAGAGAATTACAGAATCCAATCAAAAGACAGAGACTGTCCAACTGGATACAGAAAAAGAAAAAACTGATCCAATATGTTGTTTATACAAGATACACTTTAAAGACAAAAGAAGACTGAAAGCAAAATGATGAGACGGATATATCTTGAAAGAAATAACTACAGGAAAGCTAGAGTGGCTGTTCATGTAGATGACATATTCTCAAACAGAAAATGTTGCTACAGATAAAGGACAATTGACAATTATAAAGAGACAACTCATTGTGAAGATATCAGAAATATAAGTGAATTGGTTAAGTGCTCATCTAGAGTAGCCGAGAAAATCAAATTACAAGATTTAAAAATTAAGGACAAGGTAATTTCTGATGTTATAAAAAGTAAAAAACAGTAAGCAGTTAATAAATTAACATTTCGTGGCTGCTCTAGAGTTTTAGATATATATACATATACATATTATCAAAATCAAGCTTGGGTCTTTTGTATGGTCCCAATTTATAATCTCAGAATTTTAGAGGATGATGCAGGAAAATTATAAGGCAAGCCTGGGCTACATACCATATGGCCCTGTCTCTCAAATTTTTTTTCTGGGATTCTCAGATATAAAATAACCTTAATGTACAGTGATACATAGTTTTCTGTCCTCCTTTTTCTTTTTCTATAGTCTTATTGTTATGTGCGTGCGTGTGTGTGTGTGTGTGCGTGTGTGTGTGTATGTGTGTGTGTGTGTGTGAATGGTTCAAGTAAAAAAATAGATTGTTACTTACAGAAATAAAAAGGATACTTTCAAGATAGTAGGGGGAAATACATACCCCCAAATAGAAGGAAATAAATAGCTGGTCATTGGTGTCTCACACCTATAATCCTAGCTACTCCGAAGGCTGAGATATTGAGGACCTCAGTTCAAAACCAGCCTGGACAGGAAAGTCTGTGAGACTAATCTTCAATAAACAAACAAAAAAGCCAGGAGCAGAACTGTGGCCATGTGGTAGAGTGCTAGTCTTAAACAACAGAAGAAAAAAAAACCTCAGGGACAGCACCAGGCCCTGGGTTCAAGCCCCAGGACAGAGGAAGGAAGGAAGGAAGGAAAGAAGGAAGGAAGGAAGGAAGGGAGGAAGGAAAGAAGGGAGGAAGGGAGGGAGGGAGGAAGGAAAGGAGGGAGGGAGGGAGGGAGGAAGGAAGGAAGGAAGGGAGGGAGGGAGGGAGGGAAGGAAGGAGGGAAGGAAGAAGGGAGGGAGGGAGGGAAGGAAGCAAGGAAGGAAGGAAGGAAGGAAGGTATGTGCTTTGGAGTAACTAATGGTAAAATTAGTGAAGACTGAAGGAAATACTGAGTTGAATCTAAAGAGACGGAGGATATGTGTTGAAAATGAATATACTTTTGAGAAAAGATGCAGACAGCCCATTGAAAGACCAGCCTGTGTAAAGTGCTCTGTGGGAAATTGCCTGTCCACTTAAATGTCCTCTATTCTTTCCCATATGAATGTCCATATATGAAAATATCCTGAATCATGACTGCCACAAGACTCACAGGAAACCATTTGACTTCTTGCTCTGGAAACATGATTAGATTTTTCTTTTGTCGTCTTTATCAGAAGACTTTTTCTTGTATGTGAACCCCACCATGTCCTCCCGAGTAGGGAAAGAACAGGGCTCAAACGCGTCCCTGAGCCTCCCTTTCCCTAGAGTACTGTCTCTCTGACTTGAAGCAGCAAACTGGCGGAAATCCATAGCAGACCTCACTCTCCAAGAGCATGCAATTCAATTTGGCAAACCCAAAATGGCAAACACAATTTGGAATATACAATCACCCCATACCTCGGATGTTCCTAACATCACAGCAGAATTCTCAAGAGGTTTGAAATTCAGCCAGTCAAAGTAAATGTCTGCAAATTCTTCTCTGGACAGAAAGCAGACTCCCAAGCTTGGTTATATTTAGCTGCAGAGTCACGGTGGGTCCTATGTATCAACCATCTCATATTTTAAATACTCAACACCTTACACTGTGAAACGAACCTTCACATCCATCCCAGGGAACCTCGTGGAGGTAGGCAGGCACAGGAGAAAGATTATTATAAGGTTTATTAGAGGAGCCTCATTTTCCCGGGAGAAGGAGCACATGGGCTCTGTCCCTAACCAGGTAGTGGGCAAGGGGGGGGGGGGGGTGTCTAGGGGCAGGAGGTGAGGTAGGTGGGAGCTCAGGAGGGTCTGGGTGGAGAGAGGGAGGGGCTAGCTGTATGGAGCGAACTCCAGGGCAGGGAGGAGATCAGGTCTGGGTGGAGCTGAGGACCAAAGGTGTGCATAATGCTTACACCCTGAAAAAAAATTACTCCCTACACTGTAGGAAGATAAGATGACATACATTATTTCATAGGATAAGTCTATACCGAGGAGATCAAGGATTCTCTTACGCTAACCTTGTGACATGATTCAGGTCATTAGGCTAGGACAAGAGCAGGCCCTGACTTCGAGTCCTGAATTCAAATCTAGGATAATGTCTTTGTAGTCATATGGTTCTGTTTTGTTTTTCTGTGACAAAAATTCCAGTGGGGCGGTTCAGCTACTCAGTGACACTGGGAAGATTTGAAGTTCTTTTTGTTCCTCTGCTCCATCTGCTTTACCTTATAGGCCTCCGTCCTTATGTTTGTCCCCTTCTGCCACAATCTTAGGCTTTAGATTTGCTCTCTGGGAAGCAAATAGGTAGAAGGGTGCAGGAACAAGAGAGGCCAAGTTTGAGCTTGTTCACTTTTAAATAGATAAATAAGAGCTTTTTCTTACCTATCTCAACCAGGGGACCTCCCACTGATACCTACTTGACCAGAACTCTTACCTGATCATTCCTAGCTGGAAGGGATAATTAAAATAAATAATTTTTTAGACTTAAAAAAATTAGAAAAAGACAAAGGGCAAAGTGGGATTAGAGGTGATAAGATGTCAATAAGTGACCACATGTCAAGCATGAGCTTTCTAGGTGGGCTTTCTAAATAGCATATTTTAATTTGCATTAGGGAGAAATTACTGTCCTATAGAATAGCTCTGGGGTAGGAACTAGGAGGTCAGAATATCAGAATATATTGAATTGAAAAGAAATCTACCATCTTGCCCTTGCTCTGACCTTGATGGTTTTCAACCGAAATCACTCCATTCTCAGATTTGCCAATAATACATCTGTTTTGTACTTACTTTCTCTTTGCCTTATTCATCTTTTTCTCTCCTTTTAAGTTTTAACAGAAATTTTTGAACAAAGCCCAAATAAAGTGAATAATACAATGAGGAGCCCAGATACCTATCAGTCACCTGCAAAGATGATGGTTTTGCAATCTTGCTTCCTTCCTCTCCTCCTCCCTTTTTCCTCTGAACTATTTTAAGCACATTCATTTCACTTTGAATCCATTATGATAAATTACGCCTGTAGGTCTGCACCTGAAGGTGTTTTAGCATGAGTTAAAAATGTTTGATCAATGAAAAATCATTATTGATAAAATCTTTTTACTCTTTTTCTCCATATATTTTACCTAAGATATTTACCCCCAAAAAAGGAGAAAAAATAAGATGAGCTTTAAAAACAAGAAACAAGAATTGCAAAAGTACTGATAAAGATAGGCATCACAGAATCTTCCTCTACTATGCAGGGCCAGATTTATTTACTGCTTAAGAAGTATTAAGTTATAGCTATGTGTCATTTAAACTATTATCCCTGACAAATGTTACAATTAGCATTCTACTGAGATTTATACTCATTAATATGAAAAAAAAAAAACTTTTCTAACTTTCAAAGCATGGTAGATAGTGGCTGGAAGGGACTGCCTGAATGAGAAACTGTTTAACATATAATGTGTCTCTTCTGTCCTAAAGATTTTGATTGCTTTCACCTTCTACTACTTTTTCCCTTTAACAAAGGTAATTCAGAGGGTTTCCAGCTATTCCAACCATTAAATTAGCCTATGCTGTATGTATTTATTCATCCACATGCAGTGTAATCCATTCATTTCAGTCACTTGTTTATATGTTTATTACTAGTTTCTGTAACCATTCCGTAACTATTCACTGTTCAGGCTCTTAGCAACATCTTATTAACTAACAGTTTTAAGGATGATGTGTGTTAAAAAATCAAAGTAATGTCTCTGTTTTCATAAAACTAAAACAAATCAATGCCTTGCAAGCGCTATGTGAGAATCAGGTTTTAATCTGGAGAGTAGAACCATCAGTCTCAAAAAGCATACTTGCAGAAACGTGTAGTGACAGGATCATGGGGTGGGACAGGAGCCAGGCTGGAACGATCTCTAAATGTGTATTTTTATCATCCATGTGTTGGATGAAGCCGAGCGCTGCCAGATAGCTTCTTTTCCACAGCTTGGAGTTACTGTTGGGAACAGATCCATGTATGGAAGCAAACGCCGAAAGGCAGAGATAAGCTGAGAGCCAGCTATGCAAACCATGTTTAGAGACACTTAAAGGACAAGCACCCCAAGTCTTTTCTTTCTGGTAAAGCTGGAGAAACCATCACACTGGACGTTTTTTTTTTCAATTCAGCTCATGCAGACTGAGTGGCTAAGGACTGTCTGAGGTAGGTACAGGGTTTTGGCGATTAAACTTACCTAAAGAATCATTTGCCAATATTCCCTCCCAAGCCTTTCAGGGAAGGTGCCAGATCCTATTTTGAAAGGAAAAGAAAGATTTGTGTTGGGGCTGGCAACAAAGACATAACTAACAGCTCTGCCTTCAGAAGACGGGGCAGCTTGACCATGGAGAGAGAGTGACAATACAGATTTGCTGCCAAATAAAATCTTGTCCTGGGTCACTTACCATGCAGATTTTTCTGGATATGAATCTTCCTTGATACTGCCACCTCCTTCTGTAACAGACCACAGCTTCCCACGCGTCCCGATGCCGTGTATTTTAGGCTGGGGTTGGTGGGATTTATTGTTTCCGTGCGTAGTTTTCCAAAACCTGCACAAACTCACATGGTGGCTAGTTCTTCCTTAGATATAGGAAGAGCTGCTTGCAAACAGCATTATTATTTTTGGCTGCTGTAGTCATTTTTTGCAATGTATCTCAGCAGTTGGGAGGTTGATTACATCCTGTTCAAAGATTTGTGGGTTGTTTTCACAAACATAGGATCTTGCGTAAGTGGAAGCTGTTGGAAGGAACTGTAATGCCCTGGGTGTTGTCTGTACCTTGAACATTTCTTTCTTCTTTCATCTTGTTAATGCTGCAAGTTTAGAAACATTGTCATCAGTGATGTTTTGGGAATAGTAGTTTGTGGAAAGGTAGCAAGTGCTATGTGTATCAAAAGTATGGCTATAAAATCAAGAATAATAAATATCAGTATCTGCATAACTTTACTATATTTTCTGGAATATGGGCCAGCTCAGCTAAGTTATATCCATTTAACTTTGAAGTGCTATTCCAGATATTTACCACATTGTAGTTATTAATTATAGCAAATCTATTAAAATTGTGAATGAAATCTGTGCACATGTACCAAATGTACACAGATGTCTAGGGAAAAGAAGCTCAAGTCATGGCTCTAAAATACCTGTGTTTCCACGATTAAATTAGAGTGATACTCAATATGAAATTAAGATGATTCTAACACAGAATTGAAATTTAAACTCAGTCTTTATCTTACTGTGTGTAAAATCAAACTTGAGATGTGAACCAACTCCTCACTTAGTTTAATTTTCAATATTGGGATAGAGTATAAGAAAGAAAAATAAGAAAAAAAGATTAAATATGAAGTCTCTTTCTCAACAACAAACATAACAGGGAAAATGATTAATAAACAAGCATAATAAAAGAATAAAAGTTGTTTTCATACTCACCAAAGAGCTGTTCTCTGTATAAATTAGATACCTGGGAAAGGCTTTAGAGATACAGAGGAGATAATTATTTTGTGGCAAAATATAATAGCCCCATTATGTTAAAATAGTAACAGAGAAAGAAAAAATGAGGTTTTGTTTAAAAAAATTACAATGTCTTTATTAAAATAATTGTAACACTAAAGGATGGTTTTTTCATTAATTTTTATTATTTTTCATAGTTATCTACATTTACCACACATTAAATTTACAATACATTTAAACTCATTCACTCTATATTTCTAAATAGATTATTTGACTCTACTGAACAAAGTGTTAATATGCTGTATCTGGGCAAGAGATAGAGACAGAGACAGACAGGGAGAGAAAGAAATAAGCTATGCCTCTTAAAAAAAAAAAAAAACTAACAGACTAGCTGTCATAACTTTAGCTAAAATGGAGCAGGCCTACAAAAGGGTGGTTTGAAAATACTTAATTAAACAGTACATAGCGGCCGGCTTCCCTAATAGAACTGCACAGCAGGAGCCTTTGTAATTTTCAGTATGTAAAAGGTTCATATTTGTGAACAGATGCAATGCATACATGTCACTGTCTACTGTTTTCTCATTTGCTGCTGCCAAGTATGTTTCAAATGTGCATTCCTCAAGAGAAATGTCTGCTCTGATGTTTTTTTTTTCCTTTAGCAAACAAATTTGAGAAGCAGAATATAATTAACACAAAAAAGACTTGCTGCCATTTTTATTTATTCTATGTTAACATTTACTGGAGAAAATGAATAATAGTCACTCAAACTACTTATCCTCTTGACTCATGACATCTTAAACATTCAGTGATGACTTATCCATGTAGAAAGTCTTGAAATCATACTTGAGAGAAGAATTGAAAATGTTGGCAGTTTCATGTGAGGAAAAAAAACAAAAGGAGATTCTGATGCTATAGTTGACTGAGGCATGAAGCTAATTCGTAGAGGCTAAATATAAGAGAGAAGCTGATTTTTCTCCAAATAGCAGGAAGCACAGTTTTGAAGTTTCTATACACACTTCACATGCAAACTAGATAGTGTATGGGCTTGGTCCATGTACACTCATGGAGGGGAGTCATGGGGTACAATATTTCTGATGGTCGAGAGGGCTTATATGGAAGGAAGAATAAGTATTTCCTTTTCTGGAAGCATGGAAAAATGGATCCATAGGAAGTTCAGTATATTTTAAAGAAAAATATATCATGGGTTATTCTTTTAAAGAAAAACAAAGAAAATGAGAAAAGGGTAGTATTAGCCAAGAAGGCTTCTAACTCCTTTGTACAACTCCTTAATCATGATTTTTAAAAAATCCTTTGCTCAGGTGACTAAAGACTATAAGATAATGAATGATTCACACAGAGCACAAAGATTTCAAGAACATTTAAAAATTATAAATAACATGAGTCCAGTAAGGAAGTTGAGGACCACAGAGACTCTGTTTCCTCAAGTTCAATCAAAGAAAGGTCGGAAGTTTCTTAGAATCAAGACAATCTGATAATATGACCAGATATGGTGGGTTCAAGTACCATCTGTCCCCTTTTCTCATCTTCTTAATTTTAAAGTTAAGCATTTTCAAGTCTCCTAGTGAGGTATGAAAAGAAAGTTACCTATTAGAGAAATGTTGAAGGTTCTTTTTAAAGTATATAAAGTAATAGAAAAAAAAAGTTCAGATAACACTTAGTATTGCTGATTAGAAAATAGCCTTTCTTATGTTATTGACTTCTTTGCCTGAAAGGAACCACTGTTCTCAGGCATAAGATCCTGAGGTCAGTCTCCAATAGGAGAAGGAAGAGAGAAACTAAAAAGGAGATAGATGATTCAGAAGAAATGCACAGAGAAAGACAGAGCAGGAAAGGGAAAGTGGTAGCTAGTCTAATTTATTTAAAAGAGGAAGTTAAAAAGACACATAGCTGAAATTTTAAAAAAGAGAGAGAGAAAGAAAACAGCATGGTAGTTCATACCTGTTATTTCACACTAAGAAGAGTGACACAGGAAGATGAACACTGTTACAGTCCTTGAGCTGGCTAAATATTTTTTTAATGTATTTTTCTTTTAAAGCTGATTTCTGGCTACTGATGTAATCTCTACTGACAGGAAGTTCCTATTTTAAAGTTTTAGCAAAATATAAAAGTTTATTATACAAATGATTTATAGGGATATTTGTTAACTTTTATACTCTTTAGCCTGAATCCTATGCTAGCCATAATTATTAAAAAGTATAAATATACATCCATGACATTATGGTTCTTAGCTAGCTGTGAAAATTTTATAGTGTTTTTATCAAAACACAGAGCAACCATCTTGAAAGGACTTATTAATTTTAGTATCACTAAATTTCCAAAAGAACAGGCTATTTTTTTCTTTTAAAAAGTGCTTTTGTGCCTTTAACATTTAACCATGCTAGGCTCAAGATCTTTGGGGAGATAGTGTATAATTTTATGCAGAAAATACATTATTTTATATCAAAACATATGACTAAAAACCTAACTCTAGCCATTTAACTTTGTATGCTACTGAAAAAAAACTAAGCATTTGATATAGTGTTTCTGAATGTAAATGACATAAGAAAAAAATTAACCATTCTTTATGAACTTAATGTTTCCAAATTTTTGGTGGATATTTTTTCAGAGATGAAAATTAAGTTCTTCTATTGTGACTATATTCCATTCTTACTCTCTCTGTCATATTAATTATGTTTGAGTAAATGTATAATGAAATTCTTAACACCCTTTCCACTAATCTTCAATGTCATATAGCAATGAGGATTTAGATTAACATGAGAAAAGGAGATAAGAATCATTTAAGTGAAAACTAGTGTTGTATTTTCACAGGTTAAATTCTATTTAAATTCTAATCCATAAAACTAAAATGAAGAACAAGAAGCCCACCTGACATTCAGTAACATCTTAAATTATGCTTATGAGCAGAGGAATTTAATGCACAATTTTCATCAACATTGTGAGTCATGCATTTCTTTTTACAATTTTTTGTTGTTGTTGTTGGTTGTGGGGCTTCAACTCTGGGCCTGGGCACTGTCCCTGAGCTCTTCAGCTCAAGCTGAGTGCTCTACCACTTGAGCCACAGGGCCACTTCTGGTTTTCTGATTGGTTTATTGGAGATAAGAGCCTCATGAACTTTCCTGCCCAGGCTGGCTTTCAACTCTGCCTCCTGAGTAGCTAGCATTACAGGCATGGGCCACTTGGTGCCCAGCTTATTTTACAAACCTTTTTTTCAGCTAAAACATTGAAAATTATAAAGAAACTTCTCTACTTTCTCTTATAAGCAAAGTTTATTTCTCTTCTCCTCCCATTTTCTCATGTAAATGCAAGGAATAAAGGTCATACTTGTCTTCCAACATTCGATTTTTACTTCAGCATATATTTAAGATCTCTTGTTATATCATTTCCCCACAGATGATTTGGCTACCATTAATTTCAATATTTTTTTGCCTTTACAAAGTAAATGTCTACTGTGAAAGAGGAAAGGGCAAACAATAAGATTAGAATCTTACTGACCATGTCCTTGCTGTACAGAGCATTTGTCAACTCTTCTATTTGCTGAGTCCCTGGAATTTTATTCAGGAAATTCTTACTCATACTGTTATAAGGCGTGAAAACAGAGAAGCCACATTTTGGGAGGTCAAATCTTGGAGTCTTTATTAAAAGGCCAGACATTGCATGGTACACTCCTGTCTCAAAGACCAGCGGCCAGCAAATAAACTTAACAGTGTTAGGAAACTGTGCTATGAAGGCCAGAAAGAAAAGCAAGAACAAAAATACTACCAACAAACCAATTCACCTCCATGGAGAGCTGAATTGGGACATCATAGTGACCAGAGAAGAGCTAGGACAAAGGAGACAGGACAGGAACACAGAGACATGCGGCATGGCATAATGGCATCTGAGTTGGTCAGGGCCTTTATAAATAGGGTCAGGTCTGGGGACAGGGTTATAGGAAACTCCTAGTCCCAGGCACTGGACTGACAGGATTAGTAACCTATCAGCCAATTGCCCAGTGTCTCCAGGGATTAAGGCACGCCCATCACCTGGGGGAGGGAGCTTTACTTTCCACCAGCACGAAGACAAGATGCCAGACCCTAACATCCACCATGTGGCCAAGATGGCGCCGGCCAGATCTCCCTATTTCAATACCAATCGTTCTAGTGGTTCCCTTGCTCTTTCCTGTAGTAGTTTCAAGGTTTTAAGTCTTTGGTCTATTTTGTTTT